AAATAAAAAGTGTTAGGTCCGCCATATTTAGCAAACATCATTTATATTTTCACAACTCCAGTCCAAAAAAAAAGGAAAAAATCATTTTATCAAAACTTTTTTTGGTTACTTTACGTGTAGAATTTAATTCTTTTTCGACAATATTCGATTGTAGTCAACTTAACATCTATTCTGTTTAGTTTCAAATTGCACATTTTTACCAACACTTAAAATTTTTTAATGTATTTAAAAGAAATTTTCGCTACTTTGAGAATTTAATTGTAGTTAAATACTATAAAACTTCTATAAAAATGCTATTTAACAGAAGCTATGAAACGTTTTCTTTTATGCTTTAAAGCATTTACATGCAAATAAATAGTGTTCAGTCCGAAAAATTTAGCTAAGATTATTTATATTTCGACTACTGCAGTCAAAAAAGAAGAAAATAAATCATTTAATTACAAAATTTGTGGTTACTTTACGTGAAGAATTTTATTCTTTTTCAACTAAACTCGATTGTAATAAACCTGACATCTATTCTGTTTAGTTTCTATTAGCCCACTTTTACTGACGCTAAAAATTTTTCAATATATTTAAAAAGAAATTTTTGCTACTTTTTAGATTAAATTGTAGTTAAAAACTACAAAATTTTTAAAAACAGTCTATATAACAAAAGCTACAAAACGTTTTCTTTCAAGTTTTAAAGAGTATACTAAGAAATAAAAAGTTTTTAGTCCGATAAAATCTAGAAAACATTATTAATATTTTAACAACTGCTGTCTAAAAATAGAGAAAAAATCATTTTATTACAAATTTTTTTGGTCACTTTACGTACAGAATTCAATTATTTTTTGACAAAACTTGTTTGCAGGTAACCTGACATCCATTCGGTTTAGTTTTTAATAGCACATTTTTACCATCGCTAAAAATTTTTCAATATATTTAAAAGAAAATTTTGCTGCTTTTTTGATTGAATAATAGTTGAAAACTATCAGATTTCTACAGAAGTGCTATAAAACAAAAGCTATACAACGTTTCCATTCAAGTTTTGAAGCGTATAATAACAAAAAAAAAATAAATCCGATAAAATCTAGCAAATATCATTTATATTTCAACAAATGCAGTTTTAAAAAAGAGAAAAAATCATTTTATTACTACTTTTTGTAGGTAATCAACGCGTAGAATTCAATTCTTTTACGACGAAATTCGATTGTAGTCAACCTAAAATCTATTCTGTTTCGTTTCTAATAGCACATTTTTATCGTTGTCGAAAATTTTTTAATATACTTAAAAGAAATTTCTGCTGCTTTCTGGATTAAACAGTAGTGGAAAACTATTAGATTTCTAAAGAAGTGCTTTATAACAAAAGCTTTAAAACGTTTTCTTTTAAGTTTTATAGCATATACTTACAAATAAAATGTGTTAAGTCAGATAAAATCTAGCAAATATTATTTATATTTTAACAACTCAATCTACTACAGGGGATAGCTTTTTACGGAATTCATGAGACCGGGCGAACATTTACTCGATTATTTTGGTCGAATAAAGGAACTCACCCAGTTGGTTCTAGACGAAACGACGAAAAACTCGGGGCGTGTGGAGCGCAGGGTGGAGATGGCAATTGAGAAAGAGGGATTGCATGCACTCATAGGGGTCTACCTCGGGATTATAAGACAGCACTAAAATTTGAGTATTATAGCAACTTTGACAAGATTTTAATTTGCCTCCTAAGAATAGACAAGCAAATCAAAGAGGAAGATAGTAAATAAGGCATCTCAATGATTAAAAGTCGCGTCGCAAACGTTAAACAAATAAACGAATCTATAAACTGTAGGTATTGTAAAAAAGACGGCCATTCAGAGGACAATTATGGGTAGAAGAAGGGTTACCCTTTCTCTTCCAAACCTGAGAAAAAATCTCCCAGCAAACCTAAATCTCCTACTAAATCTGAATCTCTTTTTTGGACTTCAGTGGTTAGAGTATAAAGGACATTAGCTAAATTTTTTTGAACTTACCTCTTTTTAGTCGTAAGTATACGCTTCAAAGCCTGAAAGAAAACGTTTTATAGCTTCTGTTAAATAGCCCTTTTATAGAAATCTGATAGCTTTTAGTACTATTTAGACTAGAAAGCAACGAAAATTTCTTTTAAATATATTAAGAAATTTTCAACGACGATAAAAATGTGCTATTAGAAACAAAACAAAATTGATGTCAGTGTTGCGACCGATGCCTTAATCGGTACTCCAGTGGATTGTACAGTGAATCGAAAATGCCCTCACGGGTGATATAGAGATTGCTTATTAATAGGAAGGATGATAGGAAAATAAAACACCAGTAACTAATATATTTGAGTCCAGTCAGTACTAAAAAGTACGCTTTATTTGGATCGTCAGGGAAAAGCCTTTAAGCATAAAAACCATGGTTGGAACGTGAAGGAAGAATCCGTACAAATCAGAATAATTCTTACCACGTGCAGGACCGCCTTTGTCCCTTGTCACTGGCTGAACTTAAATGATGTAGTATTGCGCAAAAAAATAATTTTTCTTGAAATGGTTCTCGCAAGTTTTAGCTTTCCAAGTTAGATGAATCTCGAGCGAAAAATCACGAGTGACGAATCGCAAGTGATGAATGATGAATGCCGAGTGCCGAGTGCTGATTGCCAAATGCCGAAATGATGAGTGACAAAGGCACCTAAGCGCGAGTTCGCGCTACGCTTTATACGAAAACGCGATGCAATGCTGGACCAATCACCGACAAGCCCGATGATAACGCGATTGCCGATATATATGATTGGCGTAATGAATGTAGTGGTAGAGCGCGAGCTAGAAGAAAGAAGGAGCCCTTACAATGGACTTGGCGCTCCCTTGGTTACCACCAAAAAAATATACTTTCCTGTCGCGCGTGTCTCACGCCTCGGCAGGTCCTTACACGCCCCAGCGCTTCGTCCTACTCACTCGTTGCGTAGGATACGTAGGATTGCGTAGGATGCTTTAGAGATCTTATAGCTTCCTACTAGGATTTATACCAGAAAAAAGCAAAAATATATTTTAAATATATTGAAAAATTTTTAAGTACTGTGAAAAATGTGCTATTAGAAACTAAACAGATTGCATGTCAGGTTAACTACCGTCGATTTTCGTCAAAAAATTATTAAATTCTACACGCAAAGAATACCAAAATAATTTTAATGGAATGGTTTTTTCTTTTTCTTGGACTGCAGTGGTCGGAATATCAATGATATCTGCTGAATTTTTTTGGCCTAAAAATTTATATTTGCAAGTATACAATTTAAAGCATAAACAAACGTTTCATAACTTCTAGTAATTACAACTTCTTTAGAAATCTAATAGTTTTCCACAAAGATTCAATCCAGAAAACAGAAAAAATATCTTTTAAATATATTGGAAAATTTTTAGGAACTGTAAAAAATGTGCTAAAGGAAACTAAACAGATTGGATTTCAGGTCAACCCTAATCGATTTTCATGGAAAAAGAATTGAATTCTACACGTAAATAAATCTAGATAGTTGTAATAGATTGATTTTTTCTCTTTCTTGGACTGCAGTGTTCGGAATAATAATGATATCAACTAAATTTTTTTAGAATAATTATTTATATTCGTGAGTATACGCTTAAAAGCTTGAAAGCAAAAGTTTCATTACTTCTGGTAAACAAGACTTTTTTGGAAATGTTTTAGTTTTCAACTAAGAATAAATCTGGAGAGCAGTGAAAATTTCTTGTGAATATATTTAAAAATTTATAGATATGGAAAAAAATGTGCTATTTGAAACTAAATTCTTGTCCGAAAAAATTGAATTCTACACCTAAAGTAATCCAAAATAGTTGTAAGAGAATGATTTTTTCACTTTCCTAAACTGCATTAGTCGGATTTTCAATGATATCAGCTCAATTTTTTTAGACTTTATATTTATATTCGTAAGTATACGCTTCAAAGTTAGAAAGCAAAAGTTTCCTTACATCTGGTAAATAGGACTTCTTTAGAAATCTGATAGTTTCCCACTGAAATTCCATCCGGAAAGCAGCGAGAATTTTTTTTAAATGTATTTTAAAAATGGTAAAGACGGTGAAAAATATTTTTATTCAAGCTAAACTGATTGGATGTAAGGTTAACTAAAATCGATTTTCGTCGGATAAGAGTTCAGTTCTACACGAAAAGTAAACAAAAATAGTTGTATTAGAATGATTTCTTCTCTTTCTTAGACTGCAGTGGTCAGATTATCACTGACATTAGCTCAATTTTTTCTGATTTATTAATTTTATTTGTAAGTATACGCTTTAAGGCTTGAAAGCAAACGTTTTAGAACTTATGTTAGACGGAACTTGTTTAAAAATCTGATAGTTTTCAACTTAGATTTATTCCGGAAAGCAGCAAAAATTTATTTTAAATATATTTAAAAATTTTTATAAACGGTGAAAAATATTCTAATTCAAGCTAAACTGATTGGATGTAAGGTTTACTAAAATCGATTTTCTTCGAAAAGAATTAAAGTTACACGTAAAGATAACTAGAATAGTTGTAATAGAACGATTTTTTTTTTTTCTGCAATTGAATGTGCAGGTAAAGTTTCATGTGCAGTTTCAGTTGCAGTTGCAGTAACATGTACAGTGCTGTTGCATGTGCTGGTAAATATAAATGTGCAATTGCAAGATTATGTGCAGGTGCAGATCTATGTGTCCGTGGTTATATGCAGTTTTAGTTGTCCAGGCATTTACTCCTGCATTTAAATTTGGAAGCGCTGTGGAATAAGCAATTTCAAGTTAAGCTGTAGTTTACGTCGCAGTTGCAGTGGCAGGTGCTTTTGTATGTGCAGCTTTAGTTGCAGGTAATGTTGCAGTTTAATGTTCAGTTACAGTTGCATGTGCAATTGCAACTGTTGTTGCTATGGCAGTTGCAGTTGCAGTCTTACTTGCAGTTGCATTTGCAGTTGCATTTGCAGTAGCATTTGCATGTGAAAGTAAAAATTTAAAACGACATGTAATATCAAGTAAATGCAGTTGAAGTTACTGTTGCATGTGCAGTTTGATTGCATGTGCAGTTGCAGGTGCAGTTTTATTTGCAGTTACAGCTGCATTTGCTGTTACAGTTGCAGTTGCAATTGCTTTTTCACTTGCAGTTGCATGTGCAGTGTCCGTTGCTGTTGCATTTACAGAGAAATGTACAGTTGCAGTTCCAGTCGCAGATGTAGTTGCAGTTGCTGTTGCAGTATTATGTAAAAATGCAGTTGCCGTTGCATAAGCAGTTAAAGTTACAGTTGCCGTTACAATTACAGTTGCCGTAGTATGTGCAATAGCAGATGCATAAGTAATTGAATTTACATGTGCAGTTACAGTTGCAGTTATAGATAGTGTTTTAGTTGTAGTTCCATTTGCAGTTCTATTACTATTAGCAGTCAAATGTACAGTATCATTTTCCTGTACTGTTGAAGTCTCATGTACAGTTTCATTTAAATGTGAAGTGGTAAGTTTAGATACGGATACAGTATTACTTGCATGTGCAGTCTTAGTAGCAGTAGCAGTTGCAGATGCATGTGTAATTGCAGTAACATGTGCAGTTGTAGTTGCAGTAGCAGATACTATTTTAGTTGCAGTTGCATTTGCGGTGGCAGTCGCAGTTGCGGTTTCCTGCAAAGTTGCATTTGCTTTTGCTTTTGTATTTGTTTTTTGTATTTGTATAAGTAATAATATGTCATAATAAAAAATTTTAGTTACTTAAGGAAGTCCCAAATATAGGGACGAAACGTTCAACTGATAAATAGATTGTTCATCTAATTTAAACTTGTCCAAAAAAATATCCCTAAGATTAAACTTAGTAATAATATTAGAAAAATTTTGGATAAGAAAATTTATTATATTAACAGTAAATATTTATCTTTCGACCAATACTCTAGCATTTTCAGTTTTTTTGTTGCGTGTCATCAGTAAAGACAATGTAAAACAGTAGAGTTCGTCTATTGTCGTTGGAGCGTCCAAATTCTTATGAGCCTGATAGTAGTTAGATTCTTCGACAATATATTGTACGAGCTCCTCAGAAATAAATAGTTGAAAATAGTCTTAAAAAGATGACGATCTAGGTAATTTCGTCTTTATTCCTGAGTCTTTCGTAGAAAATGGATGTATTCGTGGCATAAAATTTTTAGTCGTTTATGTTAGATTGCACTTCTTCTCAGCATCATTTTTAATTGACTCGGATTCCGAATCTGTTGTGCTGCATATGGTAATTCGGCGTCGTTTAGGCAAGTTAAAATTATCCTCATTTGTTTCCGTATCAGATAGTCCATTTTAAAACATTATATTTCTTGTATTCCGTGCATACATTTTTCAAGAGTATGAACTGTTTCTAAAAAGATATTTTCAAAAAAAATTTTACCCAGCGATTCCTATTTTTTATACAAATTGATAACTATACCTCAAGCTTATCTACTTAGATTCTTGTAAAAATTCTACATGAAATTCTGTCGCCATCAATGAATATACGATAAGATTTTTAATGTGAAACAGTATTCGATCGTTTATAATTATGTCTCAAACAGGTAGCGTCAAGTGTTATCTTAACAATGAGTAATTTTATAAAATGATCTATAATTCAATATGTCAATAAAATCAACGAAAATGGTCTGTTGATAACGAAAAAATCTACATTATCTACTGCAGATTACCCATGTGTATGAATCATTTAAATGTTAAATGTATAGGATGACGACCCAGATGTCGTCGCGTTGCTGCCGCCTATAAGCGGCGCTCGTACCTACAAGACATTTTATGCGCGGCGCTTATAGGCGGCGCTCGTACCCACAGGTCATACTGTGCGCGCCGCTTATAAGCAGCGCCCAAAGCAAAAGGGTTATATTAGCAGTTGCATGTAAAGTTCCACGTGCAGCTACAGTTGCATTAGAAATGTCAGTTGAATGTGAAGTTGCAGTTTCATGTGCAGTTACCTTTTCATGTGCAGTTGAATTTGCAGTTGCAGTGGCATGAGCAGTTTTATTTACAGTTTCAATTGCAATTGCAGTTGCTTTGGTATGTGCAGCTGCAGTTGCATGTGCTGTTGCAGTTAAAGCTGCAATTGCAATATTATGTGCAGTTACTCTAAAAGTAATAGATGCATGTGCTTTTGCAGATGCATGTGCAGTTTTTTTGCAGCTTTAGTTACAGTTGCCGTTACATTTGCAGTTGCATTGCAGTTTAAGATGCAAGTTCAGTTGCTGTAGCATGTGCAGTTGCATGTGCAAAAACAAATGCAGCATAGATGACAGTTTAATATGCAGTTACAGCAGCATGTGCAGTGGTAATTGCATGTGCAGTTGCAGATGTAGTTGCATGTGCATAAGCAGTTGCAGTGCCTAATGTAGTTGCAGTTGCATTTAAAGTTGTATGTGCAGCTCAAGATTTGTTAACAATTGAAGGAGCAGATGCAGTTGCATGTGCAGTTAAATTTGAATGTGCAGTTGCAGTTGCATTTCAAGTATCAGTTGCGTGTGCTGTTGCTGTTGCCTTTGCAGTTTTAATTGCATTTGCCGTTACACTTGCATGTGCAGTAACGGCTACAGTTGCAGTTACTGTTTTACTTACAGTTGCATGTGCATTTTCAGTATGTTCTGCAGTTAAATGTTTAAATGCAGTCTCATGTACTGCTGCTGTTTTATGTCTAGTTACAATTGCCCGTTCAGTTGCATGTGCTTTTGCAGGTCATGTGCAATTAAGGTAGCAGTTAAAGTTAAATGTGCAGTTGCAGTCGCAGCTGCATGTGCAGGGGCAGTTGCATGTGCTGTTGCAGTTGCTTGTGTTATTGCAGCAGCAGTTTTTGTTGCATATACTGTTGCAGTTTCTTGTAAGGTTGCAGTTGCAGATGCATGTGCAGTTTAAGTTGCAGTAGCAGTTTCTTCTAACATTGGAGTTTCATGTGAAGTTGCTGTTGCAGTAGAAGTTGCAGTGGCATGTAAAGTTAGAGTTTCATGTAAATTTGCAGTTCAGTTGCAAGTAAAATTGTAGTTGCGGTTGCGTGGGCAGTCACAGTGGCAGTTTTAGTTGTATTAGCAGTTGCATCTGCGGTTGCATGTGCAGTTGCAGAATCATGTGCAATTTCAGTGTCAGTTAATGTAGCATGTGCATTTTTATATGCGGTAGCAGTTGCAAGTGCAGTTGAAGAATCAGTTGTAGTTGCATATGTAGTTAAGGTTACATGTGCACCTGCTGTCGCATGCGAAATTGCAGTAGCAGTAGCTATTGTAGTTGCAGTTTTATGATTAGCTTAAGATGCATGTTGTGACTGACGGCCTAATCGGTATTTCAATCGGTTTTTTCGTGAAAATAAAATGCGTTTATAGGTGATCTTAAGATTTATTATTGATATGAAGAAGGATATGGAAATAAAATACAAATAAATTCAATGCTTTTAAGCCTAGCCAGTACTAAAATGTACGCTCTATTAGCTCGTTAGGAAAATGCCTTTTAACTTAAATACCTGGATTAAAATCTATAAAAAAGAATCCGTACAAATTTAAAAAATTTTGGCAAGGTGCAGGACCGATTCTTTTTTTGTCGCTGGTTGAACTAAAATGATGTTTTGTTGCGTAATACAATAATTTTCTTCGATGTGGTTTTCTCGCAGGTCTTAGCTTTTTAAGGTCAGGAAGATGAATGTCGAATGATGTATGCTCAAATAAATAATAGTGAATGATGCTAATCGCGAGAACGCGCTAGGCTCTATAGGGAAACGCGATGCAGAGCCGAACAAATCACTAAAAAGCAGGATGATAACACAGCTATTGATACATACGTTTAGCGTAATAAATGTGGTAAAAGAGCGCAAGCTAAAGGAAAGAAGAAGCTCTTTCAAAGATCATAGCACTTTCTTCGTTACCACTAAAACAAAAATGCTTCCTTATCGCGAGTTACTCACGCCTCAGCAGGGCCGTACGCTTCAACGCTTGCCCTACTATCTCTTAGCGTAGGATACGCAACAATGCATTTGTAGTTGCTGTAGCCGCTGTTGCTGCTGGTGCAGTTTAGTGCTTAGATAAAAATGTAAACAAATAACTAATACCAAAAAAGTTTATTATTAGTTGCAAGAGCAGTAGCAGTTCCATGTGCAGTTGCTGAGTCAGTCACAGTTGCAAGTATATTTACAGATGCATGTGCTGTTGCAGTAGCAGATGCCGTTGCACATACAGTTTCTGTTGCAGATGCATGTGCAGTAGCAGTTGCAGTTGCATCAGCAGTTGCATTTTCAATTGAAGAATACTACAAAACAAAAACTGCAACAGCACATGCTAATGCAACTGCAACTAGTACTGACACTCTATTTTTCCCTGCAACTGCAAACTCAACTGCACATGCAACTAACACTGCAACTGCAACTGCAAATGCACATGCAACTGCACATTCTACAGGGACTGCAACTACTACTGCTAATGCAACTGTAACTGCGAATTCACATGTACTTGCCACTGCAAATGCAAAAGCAGCAGCAACGACATTTCAATATGCACTTGCTAATAGTGCTTTAAATACAGTTGACATGCATCTACACATGAACCAGCAACTGCACATGCAACACTAAATGCAACTGCAACTGCAAATGCTACTGCACGTGAGCTTGCAACTGCAAATACACCTACACCTGAACACGCAACAGCAGCTAGAACTGCACTAGCAAATTTACCTATTAGTGCTACTTAACTAGCAACTATAGATGCTCCTGCAACTGCAAAATCACGTCAAACTGCAAATGCCACTTTAATAGCAACTGCACATGCAATTGCAGCTGTAACTCCTAATTCACCTGCAACTGCACAATCACTTGCAAGTGCAACTGCATCAACACAAACAACTGCAACTGCAACTAAATCTTCTACTGCCACTGCAACTGCATATGCTACTGCAAATTAAACTGCTATTGCAACTGTACATTAAGTGTACATGCACAAACACGTGCACATGCATTAGCTAATAAAACTGCAACAGCTAATGCAACTGCAACTGCTATTGTACTTGCCATTGCGTATGAAACTTCAACTGAAACAGCATCTGCAACTAGAAATGCAACAGCAAATGTAGCTGCCTGTGCACTTGCAACTGCAACTGCAACTACAAATGTCACTGCCTTTGATCATGCACCTGCAAGCTATCATGAACCGGCAAATGCAACTAAAAATACACATACATCTGCAATTGCAACTGCATCTGCAACTAAAAATGATCCTTCACTTGCACATCAAACAGCTACTGCAACAAAAACAGAACCAAGACTTGCACATGCACCAGCAACTGCTACCGCAACTGCAAATGCACCTACACGTGCACATGCAACGGCAACTAAAACTGCAGAGGCAAATGCACCTAAACCTGCAATCAACTGTGCAACTAAAACTGCAGATCCAACACAAAATCCAGAAGAAACTACACAGTTAACTGCAATTTTAACTGTATCTGCAACAGAAGAGTCACTTTCATCTTTAACTGCACATAACACGGCTAGTGAAAAGGCAACAGAACCGGCAATTGTACATACATCTTTAACTGCAACCGCAACTGCAAATTTACCTGGCAATGAACATCTTACGGCCATTGCAACAGCTACTGCACATGCCACTTCGACTGTATCTGCAACAGCACATGCAAATAAAACTGCTACTTTACTTACAACTTTACATGCCACTATAACTGCAAAAAAACATGAAACTGCAATTAAATCTTACATATTTCGTGCAAATAAAACTGCAAATGCAAATCCAACAGCATCTGCACATTAACAAGCAGTAGCACATGCATCAGCAACTGCAAATGCAACGGCATATTCTACTGCAAATGCAACTGCAACTACACACGCAACGCTAACTGCACTTGCAGCAACAAATGAAACTTTAACTGCAGCAGCAGCTGAAACTGCAAATGCCACTGCACCTAAACCTTCAAAGGCGCCAGCAACTGCCACTTCTACAGCACTTTCAACTACTACTACATCAGCAACAGCAGTGGCCCCTGCAATGCTACTGCACATGCAACTGCAGCAGCATCTGCAAAGTAAACTGCAATTAAAACTGCAACTGCTACTGCACATTTACCAGCAGTAGCACATGCATTAGCAACTGCAACTGCAAATACACATGCGCCTGCGACTGCTGATAAAACGGCAAATGAAACTGTAACAGCAGAGGCAACTGCAATTGCCGTTGCTACTGCAATTTGATAAGCACCTAAACCTACATATGAATCAGCCAATGAGATTGCAACAGATAATTTACCTGCAATAACCTATACAACGGTAACTGCAACTGCTCCGACAAATGCAACTGCTACTTCAACAGTACTTGCCAATGCACATTATCCTACAACAGCACACAAAGCAAATTCTGCAACTGAAACAGAACCTTTAAATGCACATTTAACGGCAACTGCTAATGTAACTTAAAATGCACCTGTAAGTAAACATGCTACAGCAACAGAAACTGCACAGTTAACTGCAATTAAAGCTGCAAAGGCAAAGGCACCTGCACCAGCAATCAACCATGCAACTAAAACTGCAGGTGTATCAGCAAATGCAGAAGAAACGGCATACTTAACTGGATCTGCAACAGCTAATTTAAATTAACGTTTAAATGTACATAATAAAACTAGTGAAACTTCAAAAGAACCTGCCATTGTACATGCATCTTCAACTGATACTGCAACTTCAAATAAACCTGCTAATGAACATGCCACAGCAACTGAAACTGCTTCTGCACATAGAACTGCGACTGCATCAGCAACTAAAACTGCTACTAAAACTTAACATGCACCTGCAATCGACCATGCAACTGAACATGTCCCAGCAACAACAATTAATACTGCCCATGCAACAGAAACTGCAGCTGCAGCAGACCATGCAACTGCAACTTCTACTGTACTTATCACTGTACATGCAATAACTGCAACTGCACATGCATCTGCTACCGCGTATGTATCAGCAACTGCGACTGCAACTTCTCCTGCAACTGCGACTACTACTGTAAATGCAACAGCAACAGCATATTTACCTGCAAAAGCCCAAAGAACTGCAAATACAACTGCAAAGGCATCTGTACATTTACTAGCAGTTGCACATGCATCGGCAGCTGTTACTGCCACTGCTAATACACCTGCAACCTACAATACAACGGCAACTGCAATTGCAATTAAACCTTCTACTGTACATGCACCTACAATTTCACATGCTTTCGCGACGTCAACTAAAGCAGCAAATTTAACTGCCACTGCTACTGTAATAGCAAATATACATAAAACTACAACTTAACCAGCACAGAAAACTAAAAATGCAATCCTAATTGCAAAGTGTACTTGCAACTGCAAATGCAACAGCAACTGCGACAACAACTTCACCTGCAACTGCGACTACTACTGCAAATGCACATACTACTGCAAATGTAAATGCAACAGCAACTGCATATGCAACAACACATTTGGCTGCTACAGCTTATGAAACTGCAACTGTTACTGTACTTAAAAGCGTACATGCAACTACGAATGCAATTGCAAAAACAACTGCCACTGCAGCTTTACATGCACCTGCAACCAATCATGACACGGCAACTGCTACTGCGCATGCAACTGCTACTGCAAATACAACAGAAACTGCTACTGCAACTACAACTGCTAATGCCTTTGCACATGCAACTGAAACCGTCTATTTAACAGCAACTACAACTGCAAAGGTACGTAAAACTGCAATTGCCACTGTACTTTCAACCGTACAAGTATCTACACCTGCCAATAAATTTGCTACTAAAACTGCAACAGAAATTGCAACTGTTACTGCTACCGTACTTGCAACTAAAAATGCCACTGCAGTAGCAATTGCACAGTCCAATACAAATTCAACTGTCACTGCAACTGCAGAGGCACCGGTAACAAACCAAGCAATGGCAACTGCTGCTTTAACGGCACATGTAGCAACAACTGCATAGTAGTCTGCAAATTTAACTGCAACTGAAACAGCACATGAACGTTTAACTGCACAATTAAACTGCAACAGCATATTCAACTGCACATGTACTAGAAGTGGCACATGCATCGGCAACTGCTACTGCAACTGCTTATGAACCTGCAACCGACCATTTAACAGCAAATGAAACTGCGAAGGCACATAAAACTGCAATCGCAACTGTACCTTCTACTGTACATGCACCTACATCTGCTAATTCATTGGCTACTGCATCTGCAACAGCAACTGTAACTGCAACTGTTACTGTACTTGGCACTGCAAGTGATTCTAAAACTGACACTGCAACTGCAGCTGCAATTGCTACCGCTGCTTTACATGAACCTTATATCGACCGTGCAACGGCAACGACTACTGCACATGCACTTGCAACTGTACATGCAACTACAACTGCAACGTCTAGTGCGACTGCAAAAGCAACAACACACGCAATTGAAACTGCAACTAAACTTTCTGATGCAACTGCACCTGAACATGCTACTGCAAATGCAAGTTCAACTGTAACTTCACAATTACCTGTAACTGCAATTGAATTGAAAACTGCTACTGCCACAGAAAATGTAGCTGCAATTTTAACTGCCAATACATTTGCCTCTGTAAATGCAATAGCTCATGCCACTGCAACTAGAACATAACCTTCCACTGCAACTGCCACAGAACATGAAACTGCAACTGCTATTGTACATGCATTTCACGTAAAACTGTTACCGTGCTGGAAATTGTACATGCAACTAAAACTGAAACTTCACAAGCAACTGAAACATCACATGTAACAACAACTGCAACTGCAACTAAAACTGCTTCTGCAACTGCACATGCATCTGCAACCGACTATGTAACTTTAGCTGCAACTGCAACAGCACATATAACTGCAATTGCTACTGCACCTGCATTTGAAAATGCATCAACACCGGCACATGCAACAGCAACTGCAACTGCCGCTGCACATGCCTCTACCAATACAACTGCAACTGTACATAAAACAGCAACTGCAACAGAAAAGGGAAATGCTACTGCACTTGTCCCGGGAAATGCAAATGCAACTGCAACTGCACTTGCACTAATAATTGCACATGAATTAGAGACTGCTACTAAAAATGCAACTGCACATGCACCAGCAATTGCAAATGCATCAGCAACTGCACATGAAGCTGCAAAGGCCATTGCAACTGCTACTGCACATAAAGCTGCAAAAGCCATTGCAACTGCTACTGCACACACACATGCAACTACAAATGCAACTCTAACAGCACGTAAAACTGATACTGTATCTAAAACTGCACATTTAACGTCAAATGAAACAGCAACTGCAACGGCACTATAACCTTCAGTTGCAACTACTACTAAACAAGCAACTGAAACATCATCTTTACCTTTAACTGCAAATAAAACTGCAAAATAAGCTGCCACTGCAACTACATATGCCCCGGCAATTGCACATGCATTGGCAAATACAACTGCTACTGCACATTCAACTGCGAATGCAACTGCAACTAAACATGCAACTGCAAAAACATATGCCACAGCGTCTGCAACTAAGCATTTTACTGCAGCTGAAATTGCACACGCTACTAAAATGCAACTGCAACTGCAACTGCAAAATTACCCGTAACTGCATATAAAATAGCAACGGCAAATGAAACTGTATCTAAAACTTTAGCAACATTTGCCTCAGATTCTGCTACAGCACATGCAACTGCAACTATGACAAAATTTTTCACTGCAACTGCAACTGCTAATGCAACTGCACATGCAACTTCACATGCACTGGCAACTGCAAATGCAACAGCAACTGCAACTGAAGCTAGAACTGCCAATGCTTCTGCAAATGCCACTGTAACCAACCATGCAAAGGCTAATGCTACTAAAACCACCCATACATCTGCAATTGCCACAACACCAGCTACTACAAATGCACCTACACCTGCACATTTAACAGCAACTGCTACCTAAACAGCAAATGCCCCTACACCTGCACATGTACATTTTCCTAACACTGAACATGAACGGCATTACTACTGAAACAGCAAATACAACTGCAAATGACACTGTACCTTCCACTGTACCTACACCTACACCTGCACATGCAGCAGCAAATAAATCTACAAAAGCTAAGTCAACTTCAGCTGCAACTGCATATGCTACTACAAATGCAACTGCAACTGCACATGCAAAAGCAACTGCTACTGAAACCGCAAATGCAATTGAACTTGCCCTACAACTGCAAATTAAACTAAAACTGCACATTCTACTGCAACTGCACATAAAATAACAACTGCAATTTCAACGGCACATGCCACAGTAGGTGCAACTGCAACTACTGCTGCCACTGCGACTGCTCGTGCACCTGCAACCAGCAATACAACAGCAACTGCAATTGCAATAGCACCTTTTACTTCATATGCCTCTAAAACGGTACATGCTACCGCGACTGCAACTAAAGCAGCAAATTTACCCGCTGATGCTACTATACTAGAAATCTTACATGCAACTACAACTGTCACTGCACTTCAAACTGCAAATGCATCTTTAATTACATATGCACATGTACTTGCAACTGCAAATGCACTAGCAACTTTACCTGCAACTGCAACTACTATTGCAAATGCAACAGCACCTGCATCTTCACGTGCTATTGCTCATAGAACTGCAAATACAACAGCAACTGCATAGGCATTTTTACTAGCAGATGCACAGGCATCGGCAACTGCAACTACTACTGCAAATGCACATTCTACTGCAAATGTAACTGCAACAGCAACTGCAACTGCAAGTGCACCTGCAACTGAACATTCTTTGGCAACAGCAATTACTACTGCACATGTAACTGCAGAAAAATCTGCCATTGCAACAAAACATGCCTTCGCAATTTCTCATGCATCGTGAATTGTAACAGCAACTGCAAATGCTATTGCAACTGTAGCTGTTTCTGCGACTGCAAATAAAACTGCACATGCACCTGCAACTGCCCATGCAACGGCCACTGCCACTGCACATAAACCTTTAACTCCTACGGTACGTGCAACTGCACCTGCACTAGCAACTATCACTGCATTTCCGTATGCCACTACAGCTGCAGTTGCTAAAACACATTAGCCTGTCCCAGAAGGGGATTGCACAGGAGCAATCACAAATTTAGAAAAGAGTATAGTAAAAAAACAAATCCATTTTTAAAAGACCTTGGTTAAACAATTGGTAACACACATTGCACCAATAAACTCGCGACGTAACGCGAACACAACTTACATACTAATGTGGAACTTAGTAATAAATGTTGAACTTATAAACAAATGTGGAAGACTTACAAATAGTAGCAAATGTCGAAAACTTAGTATCTAATGTTGAACTCAGTAACAAGTGTAGAAAACTTACAATTAAAAGCAAATATCGAAAAATTAGTATCTAATGCGAACTAGATAAATACGTGCGGTAGTACCTCCCACTTTCGCAAACTGCTTCCCAAACCACCAACTTCTCTCCCGCAAAACGCCAACCTTGGAGAAGAATGTGCTGACGATTATTATTTTCGGAAGCGAATAGTTATTAATTACTATCAAGCGCGAATTCTCCGTAGTGTCTAAAGTATCAAGCTACTATCTAGAGCGATTTTTCCGAACTGCACGTGCGCTTACCGCAAAGCTAAAAAGAATTCTTTCCCACGGCTACAATGCACGTGTACAATTGTCGTGAAAGCCAAAGTTTAATCTGAATAAATTTTTAGTAGAGAAGATGGTAATATAGAAGGGCGAAGTCGGTATTAAAGACTTCCGACGGACCCGCTTACTGACCCTTTTGGTAGGTAAGGCAGGTTTCCCCCTATGAACGACAATTAATCAGTGCTGTTCTATTTACCACATTCTAACAAAATGCCAATATCGATGGCCGTTCATGTGAGAGTGCTTATAAATTATAAATAACCATGGAAAATATACTATCTGGAAAGAAAAATACAGCATACAAAAATATTACAGTATACAAATATAACAAAAATATTAAATAAATTCGAAATTTAAGCGTTCTCGACTTTTAACCCTTTCGCTACGGAAGTGTACTCCGTGAAAGTAACGCTGCTGTACGGAGCCTTTGCTCCGAAAAATGTCTCTCCAGTCAACTAAAGAAAAACTGAGTTAATTGTGTTTCTTGGCCAAAAACTTGATATAATGGTAACTCGACGACGCTGAAGCGAATGGTGCTAATTTTTTTGCCATTGGATCAGGAGATCTTTGAGAAAAAGGGTAAAAAAGGGTAAAAAAGAGTAAAAAACGGCCGTATTTTAGAATCTAGGCATTAAATCAAACAAAATATTAAACAAAAGTTGTGTAGAATTAGAAAATACATAAAAAGTGTTTTGAGGTGTATCTTCGTATGTGCAAAAATAAGTGAGAAAATAAAGGTGAAAGGTAATTGTAAGAGCGGGGGCAAGCCACGTTTCTACGTCGGTCTTTACAGGCAAGCGAGCTAGTGTGCGTTATCTTGGGGTCTCTCGGTCGTGAATGCGAGTGCGAGTAAGAAAAGAAAAGGATACTTCTCCCTTTCTATTTGTTTAGGCAATAGCGAGTATTTTTTATTGGGCCATCGTTTTTGTTGAGTGTTCTGTATTATATATTTCTGATATTTTTTCATGATTTAGGGAGAATTTTTCGTCTTAGCCATCGAGTGTCGAGCATTTTGTATACGAGTGCGAATGAGACAAGAAACCGATATTTCTCTTTTTCTTGTTTTTTCTTTGGAAGCAAGAATTTTTCGTTTTGACGATCAAGTGTCGAGCGTTCTGTATATCTACATATATATGGCGTATAAGCGCGGCATTTTTAAATCGAATCTTGATGCTTATAGTACGCCGTTTTTTTATTTATTGTCAAAAATAGTGAACCTTGATTGGAAGAAAAAAAATAATTCATTTTAACAGAAACTATTATTATTTAGTCAACAAATTATGTATTTTAGGAAATTTTAAATTAAAGATTTGTTGTCTCCTAAATACTTATTTGTGTATCAAATTGGATACATATTTGAAAAAGAAGAATTTTATATCTATACATAAAATTAAAATTCAAGATATACAGGAAAAGATATTCTAAAAACGTGGAATTTATTTTTTGTCTAGACATTATTTTAATTCATTTTTATTATGTTATAAGAAAACAGAAATACATTTTTATGCAGCTTCACAGTCACAAAAATTGTAAGAAAAAAATTGACAATTTGTCAAGTGGCACGCTAGCGTTAGTAGTATTATCTCTGCTATTCGCGCTTGGTTATTAACGTTCGATTCTTCGTGGGGGAATTATTTTTTTTTTTAAGTTTTTCTATCTATGAGTTAATACAAATTCTTTTTACATTTCTTCTTACATTTTTACAATCTTCGATTTAAAAATGCCGCGCTTATACGCCGATATATATATAGATATACAGAACGCTCGACACTCGATCGTCAAAACGAAGAATTCTCGCTTTCGAAGAAAAAATTAGAAAGAGAGAAATATCGGTTTCTTGTCTCACTCGCACTCGTATACATAACGCTGGACACTCGATGGCCAAGACGAGAAATTCTCGCTACAGCATGAAAAAATATCAGAAATATATAATACAGAACACTTAACAATTGATGGCCCAAACATAAAGAATAGCTATCGCTTAAAGAAATATTATCCATTTGTTTTCTCACTCGCACTCGCATTCACCACCAAGAGACCCTAAGATAACGCACACTAGTTCGCTCGCGTGTAAAACCAATGAAGAGGCGTGGCTTTCCCTCTCTCTTACAATTACCTTTCACCTTCGTTTTTTGCTTATTTTTGCACATACGAAGATACACCTTAAAACTTTTTTATGTATTTTATAATTCTCTACAACTTTTGTTTAAAACTTTTTTTGATTTAATGCCTAGATTCTAAGATACGGCCGTTTTTTACCCTTTTTCACCCTTTTTACCCTTTTTCTCAAAGATTTCCTGATCCAATTACAAAAAAATTAGCACGATTCGATTCAGCGTCGTCGAGTTACCATTATATTAAGTTTTTGGCCAGCTACCAAAAAATCGTTAGTTTTTTTTTATTGACTGGACTATATAATAAATAACATATTAAAATATCAAGTTTCTTAAAATAAATTTAGAATTTATTTCTTTTTAAAGTTTTTGCTATAACTTTAGAATCGTCATAATTGTCTGGTATTATTTATTTATAATAATAATAATAATAGTAAATAATAAAATATCTAAATATTAGCCTTAAAAAAGTGCTTTTAAAGATGGTGTAAATTTTATACCTTTGCTAAATGAATGATGCCATAGAAATCGACGCCGAGCTTAGATAGTCTTTCTTCAATGAATAGTAGTTAGGAGATTGACTGAACAAAATTTGGACTTTGATAAAATATATTTTGTCTAATTTCCATGTGATTTTTATCTGTATACATTTAAAATTGCTAAGCGTAAAGCTTAGTCGATGTTGATATTAAGGAAAAAAATATAAAAAATTAAATATATTTTAATAAGAATATTTCCTTTACAAAGTTTCTTAAAGATAAAACTTCTTAAGATTCATTACGATTTGAAACTCAACGAAACAAAAAACCAACACTGAAAAAAAGCAAACATTTACACATCTATTGGTAATTTATGAGATTTTAATAAAGTCAAACCAGAAGTGTCGCGATTTCTTAAAAAGATTAGGATAAAATTCCAATGACTTTCAACGGGGACTGTTATATGAATTTTGCATCGGATACAGCGCACCCATTGATGGAGTACCTAAGCACAAAATTAAATTTAAGACTTGTGCTGAATCGGCAAAACAATCAAAAACAGCAATTCACTCTGCATTTCAAAGATGTATTGATTAATTCCAAACCAAAGCATTTATGTGGGATAAGCGCCTCCAAGCCAAATACTTAAATAAGCATTCATGAAGAGATTGGACAATGGGCCTTTGATAAGTCAATGGATAAAGAGCAGTCGCCTGGAAAGCGGAAGACCCGGGTTCGAGTCCCGGTCCAGTCAGTCAGTCCAACGGCTCAATTTTTTCACGAATCCTACATTTATTTTATACTTTAGTTAAAATATTGTTAATACTTTAATTTTTAATAAAGAATAAAATATAAAAAATAATTAATCAGATAATAAATATTTATATTAAATAAAAAAAAAGGTGTGTGTGTACTTATGTACGTGCAACAAAAAATCGCATTTATCCATTTTAAAACCGGGAGATTCAAACGTGTTAATATGCGATTCATACTTTAAGTATAAACATGACAACGATGTATTTTTGTCACTGCTTTTTACGCGTTTTCCAACACAAGTCCGAAAAATTCGCACATGTAATTCTCTACTACTTAGAGAAATCTTAGCCAAATCGACTTTTTAAGCATTTTACAACTTTGGTATAATTTTCTTCTGTTAGCGAAAAAGTGCTCACTAATTCCGCTGTTCGTAAATCCGGTACAATCGCATCCCAGAGATAAGCGAATTTATCTTCTCTCGATTTATTTTTGATTTATATCTTTTTAAATCTACTTCAAAGAATTGCGATATAATCTTTAATATTTTTACGATTTCGGTGTTTCTGTATTGGCGGAAGACTGGTTTAACTGATAAAACTAGTTATTATACCTATTTACAAAGAAAATGTTGACAAATTGTTGTACGAAAGCTTTATATCTAAAATATAAAAACATTTTCCTATATCCGATTACCAACTATTTAAATTTAATCTAAATGATAGATCATTTTTTATAAAAGTCCAATACTCTATTAAATACTACAAGACGAGAGTTTTAAAATTTGTTTTTAAGACTATTTCAGAAACTATGTGTACTTCAAGTTTAGCTAGCAGCATTTACCTATGTAAATAGGTTCGCTTTTTTAAGGATCAAATTATGATCGAAAAACAGCAGGTCTTCTTCTTCTTCTTCTTCTTATTCGAACTTCGTCCTATAGCTTTTTCATTGCTATTTCTGGGAGCGATTTATTTTTTTTACCGAGGGTAAGTTGCTAGCCTCACCCTCAAACCCTCTTTTTTTGTCTGGGCTTGGGACAAGCTTAAGATGTTAACTACGCGGAGTCTTGGCATCAACGGCACACGGTATTTCCAAGCGGTTTACTCATCTTAGTACTAACTGCTTGACTTTGTGATCGAACGGGAACTAATGCTTTCAGCGCGGCATGGCCGTTGACAGAAACTGCAAGTCGATAATCATAACTCGTATTTCCTGAATTTCGATCTCTGTATTGTTCTCGACGATCAAGGAATTTAGAGAAAGTTATACACTTACCAGTACAATGAGTGTTTTACGAGATTTTTGGATATATTTTTCTTTTTAATAAGTTAATATTACTCAAAGATTATAATTCTTTGGTTGTCCAGTTTTTATCGAATTAAGAGCTCATTCTTCTGAATAGGATGCTAGTTCAATCAGATTGAACTGATATCTGAATACTAAGTCTGACTTAAGTATCTCTAATGAACTTCTAGGTTTACAGTCATTTTTATGCTGATCTTATCTTTTTTTAAGTTTTTGTTTTGTTTGTCCTAAATAACACATTAACATCGTATTTTGTACACTAAGTTCGACTGGTCAAATTTATCCACCTTTTCTTTTAATTTGGTGAATATAGAATTTATTTTTGTTAAATTATAGAAAACCAATTTGATATTCGTGTTTTTAAAACATTTATTAATTTTATTAGCTAATAGTTTAATGTACGGAAACTTAATGTATTTTTTATCTTGTTTATTCCGATTCCTTACACGATCTTTGTCTATTTTAAACTAATTAAGTACAATGTGTATGAGACTTGTGGGATAGTTGTTATTTTTTAGAAAATTCTCTATTTTTCTCCCATTTTCTATATGGAACTGTCTACCACTTAATGTTAGAGCTCTAAATAGTAAGCCTTTTATAGTTCCAATTTTTTTACTTATGGGATGGTTCGAATTATAATTAATACATCTCCCTGAGCTCTTTGATTTTACATACCAATTCGTTGATATGGTTTCGTCTTCATTTCTTATGATTGTTACATCTAAGAATCGTAATGTTCCGTTGTCTTCCACTTCGATGGTGAACTGGATTTTTTCATTTATCATATTAAAGGTTTTAAGTACTAATTTGATTCCATCTTTAGGTATTGCAGTAATAATATCATCTACATATACTTTTAAGTATGGGACTGCAAAGGGTAAATTGCCTTTAATTTTTTTTTAAAACGTGATTTATTACCAAATTCGCTACTATTGGGCTTGCTGGATTGCCCATGCTAGAACCATCAAGTTGTTGGTAAAAAGATCCATCGAATTTGAAGTAGCTTGATTTAAAACAAAATTTTATTATTTCCAGTAAGATGTTTTTTGGTATCAGTATGAAGTTTGTGAGTTTATCCCAGTCTTCATTTATCATTTTTATTACCAGTTTTTTCGGGATGTTCGTGAACAATGAGATTACATCTAACGATACTAATCTGTAATCTTCTTGTAGAGTAATTTTTGGTATGAATTCTACAAACTCAAAAGAATTCTTAACCGAAAACACAAATTTGTTTGTCATTAATTTCTAAAGTAAAAATGTAGTTAATTTGTAGCACGGTGAACGGATGCAGCTCACGACAGGTCTTATGGCCAAGCCTTGTTTGTGTTTTTCTTAGTCCATATAATTTTAGAGCGATTGAAATGTAAGATTTCATGTTCTTTTCTATATCTTCTGGGATAATCGATTCTTTCTTTAGTTTCGTTATCAAATTATTAGCTAATTTCTCGTATCTGCTGGTAGGATCATTATTCAATAATTGATATATATTTTTATCTTGTAACATTTTGTGCATTTCCTTTAAATATTCTTCTTTCTTCATGAGTACCGTGTTATTACTTTTGTCCGATCTCGTTACAATTAGATTCGGATTGTCTTTTAGGAAACGTTTTGTTGTTAGAAAGTTCGTCGTTATTTCATCCATCCATGGTCTTTTGTTATTCTTATAATAATTAGAAATTATATTTACAGCCTTAGCTCTTACATTGATTTGTTCGTCCCTTATATTCGTATTATCACTTTTCATGCTGTTAATATGTCTTACGCCTTCCTCTAAGTCTTTTATTAACGAACAAACTGGTACTTTATTCGGTCTTATCGGGATACCATACCCCGGTTCTAGAATTAATGTTTTTTCCACTTCGCGGCGTAACTCAACATCCATAAAATTATAAATACAATTATTATGTCTATTTATCCTATTGCTATTATGTGAAATATTATTTAACAAATTATTTAATTTTTTAATGTTGTTATTTTTTATAGTGTTAAATTTATTTTCATAGTTTTTATTGAAAAATGTTGCGCAATTTGTAAAATCTGTTACTGATAATTTATTCTTTAAAAAATTATGTGTTTTGCTGATGCTCTTTTCGATTGTCTTAACTTATCAAGCTGTAATTTTTATTTCTAATTTATTTGTTACATAATACTATTTTTATATGTATTTATGTATATATGTATTTTCTTAGGATTCTGCGTTTAATAAATAATAATAAATAAACAAAAAATGGTAAAGCTTGAAGATATAAAAAATTATACGTGAAATGGTAAATAATGAGAATATATTCGATTTCTATTTATTAGTATATTTAAGATAATTCTTTTTTTATATATCTGTAAAATAAGAAAATGTTTACTGTGATTCAAGGAATAAATTTCCCTTTATTATTTGTGCATGATGTCCAAAAATTTTTTGTTTTGAATTTTGTTACGATTACTATTACTCTGGAACCTGTGTTATATAAATACTATAAATGTAAAATAAATGTTAAAAATCAGCGATATAAAAAAACTACCTTAAAATTGTTAATGACTATCATATATACGAATAACTACGATAAAATGTTAACTGCAATTTAGGTAGTAAATATTGCGTTATTATTTGCGCAAGATGTTGAAAAATTTGTTTTTTTAAATTGTATTGTAATAATAGTTTTCTCTTTCTTGTATATATTTAAACATTAGGAAATATAAAACAATAATTTGAAAACAGATACACCAAAATGAATAAAAAAAACTTCCTCTATGAAGGATGGAACACAAAAACTAGCAGCACTAGAACCGACACGCTACACCTATCGCTATAGCACCACTTGATAGGCGGTCAAATTTAAGATAATGTAAACATGTATACAACAAAAATCAAAACTTTAGAAGCTTTTTTCTCAAAATTAGCAGGGCATTAAACAAAAATATCCTACGATAGCACTCTAAAACTATACTACTAATATACTAAAGCTCGATAAAATCCGTTGTTATCCCAGAGCAAGGTCCGTTTGATATATAAACAATTTATACCACAATACAAAATAATAAAACTAGGATCAAAACTTAACGAGGTACAAAGGTATAAATTCAAGTAGAGTTAAAATATTTTTTTTGGAAAATCGTGATTATCAAACTATACAAATACTGTCAGAAGCTATTTTACTTTCTGTATATAGAACTCAAACTAAGTACCTTTGTAAAAAAAAAGAAAAAACTGATTTGTGTACTTATATATGCACGTAAGAAGTTATACTTCTTTAGCGTACAGAAACGAATATTACCTCTAAAAACAATTAAAATAATAATAATTGTTTTATTGTTTTGTTGTAAAGAGGAATAGTTGAAGATCTACGTCCGATCAACACAGACGAATTATAGATCTGAATCGTTACGTATCCAGCAACATTTTTTAGGATCTTCTTGCCAATCTTTAGTAAATCTGGAAACTTAAGCTACAGAACATTTACTTCACTATCTTCATTTTATTCAATATAAATTAACTACAATTTTTCTGAATAGCAATATATAGTGTACATTTGTAAATAAAATAAAATATAACTTTATTAATAACTTTTATAAAATAAAGATATTAAATACAATTTAAATAAAATACAATTATAAAAATGAATAAAATAAAATAAACTTAGAAAAAAGAAAAACAATTTGTTAAATCAATACAAAGTATAATTTTTTATTAGCTTGTCAGGAAAAAGCCTTGTGGCATAAAAATCCTGGCTATAAAATTAAAAATATTAACGAATTGCGTCTAACAAAGGAATGACCACGTTTCTCACCTCTTGTTTGCTTCGCTTGTATACGGATTGAACAATAAAGCTCACCTTCTTTATGGAAGTATAAGGGAAACTTATACTTTGCTTATATCGCTTTGTTCGTCGGTTTCCTTTTAATTTCCTTGCTAATTGTGTAAAACGAGTCGTCGTAGACATCTAGTGGAAGAATAAGACAAGTGTCTCTGTTAAAGGAAACAGAACAGCGTGCTTAGCAACGGTTTACAGAGTTAGAAGGCGTGATAACAACATTTAGATATTCTCAATATTCTTAATATTTTCAAAATGATTGATTCGCGTATTTCAAGTATACGCTAGGAATCTATTATCTTTACAAATGGTACATAAATCGTTATCACGTTGAGTGCTGCACGAATTCTGAAGGAAATCCTCGTCAGGCCATGCTCGTTATTTTTAGTATTAAATAAATGTAAAATAAATGTAAATAACTTCAAAATAAAGACCAAACAAATATAAAATAAATAATTCGCAATAAAATATTAGTTTTGGATGTGACATTTAAATTATTTAAATTTGAACAGGTAATAACAGGCTGAGCCGATTGTTCGCAAATTAAATTAGAAGTTGACAGAATACATAAAATTTCATTCGCAGACAATTTATGTCCTAGTGCAATCATTTTTCTTCGCTGCATATACGGCCTACAACGTTCCGCATTAGATTGCGTTTTGTTTTCTTAATTTTCTATATTCTTCTTTCTACAAAGACATTATTCATTACTACTAAGTTTACTCTTAGGGAAGTTGTTTTTTTGGACGGGTTTAATTAAGATGAACACAATATTTATCCGTTGAACGTTTCGTCTCTATTTGAGACTTCCTCAGCAACTAAAATTATTTATTATGACATATTATTT